GAAAATTCATCGTTCTTGTCAGAATTTGTCAGAGAATATTTTGTTACAGAATATTTTTGTATGACAGAAACGACAGCTCAAGTTTGTTGGGAAAAAGTTTTGGAGCGGACTTTTTCTGAATTTTTTAAAAATAAAATCAGTTATCAGGTGTAGTTACCACTTACCACCATGCCCAAAGGGTATTTTCCACCTTGCAAATATGATCTTTATTATTTTTTAAGGGTTGGTGCACATTTCAAACTTTAGAAATATTTTTGATCCTGTTACAAATGGCCTTTCCTGTCAATAATCAACACGATTTGCACTCTCTTTCTGTAGTCACATACTCCCTCCGTTCCTCAATATAAGGTGTATTATTTTTTCAAAAAGTCAAACTTCTCTTAAGTTTGACCAAGTTTATAGACAAAAATATCAATATCTAGAATACCAAATCATTATCACTAGATTCATCAAGAACTATATTTTTACATTTTATATATTTAGTATTATAAATCTTTATATATTTTGCTGTAAAGTTGGTCAAACATAGATAGAAGTTGACTTTTTGAAAAACTAATACACCTTATATTTAGGAACGGAGGGAGTATTTAGTATTCCCTAATAATACAGTGTCCATATAATTATTTAATTGCCTGACCTGTTAAAACTGAAATTTGCAACACTAATCTTGAACTGCATGGATATATTTCACAATTTGGCATTCAGTAACTTGATACTGGATATTTTATGTTAGAACTGGTGCAAATAGGCATGTTTTAAATTGATATGATAAACCATTTTACAGAAATTATGGCTTGCTGGCTTCTCAAAAGGAATCCAGGAGATGCATAGAAAGGCTTCATTAGTACTTGAAGATGCAGTCCGCAACATTTACACCGTTGTTGCTTTTTGTGCTGGAGACAAGATAATGGAACTCTACAGATTACACCTTGGTAAGATACTGAAGCAAAGTCTTGTGCACGGGTTGGCTATAGGCTTCGGTTTTGGCTTCTCGCAGTTTCTTCTTTTTGCCTGCAACGCCCTCCTTCTGTGGTACATTGCCACCTCAGTGGACCAGCAGCGCCTGACAATCGCCACGGGGCTAAAACAGTACATTCTATTCTCGTTTGCATCATTTGCATTGGTGGAGCCCTTTGGGCTTGCCCCATACATACTTAAGCGGCGGAAGTCTCTCACTTCAGTGTTTGAAATTATTGACCGAGAGCCAAAGATCGATCCTGATGACAACACTGGCCTGAAACCACCCAATGTCTATGGGAGCATTGAATTCAAGAATGTTGATTTCTCCTATCCAGTTCGTCCAGAAATCTTTGTGCTGAGCAATTTTAATCTTAAGGTGAGCGGTGGGCAAACAGTTGCAGTGGTGGGTGTTTCAGGATCCGGGAAGAGCACTATCATTTCCTTAATTGAGAGATTTTATGACCCAATGTCTGGTCAAGTTCTGCTGGATGGCCGAGATCTGAAATCGTTCAACCTGAGATGGTTACGAAGCCACATGGGCCTAATTCAGCAAGAGCCCGTCATTTTCTCGACAACAATAAGGGAGAACATTATCTATGCAAGGCACAATGCAACGGAGGCTGAGATGAAGGAAGCTGCAAGGATAGCAAATGCTCATCATTTCATTAGTAGCTTGCCACATGGCTATGACACTCATGTGGGAATGCGAGGGGTTGATCTGACACCTGGGCAGAAGCAACGTATTGCCATTGCTAGAGTGGTTTTGAAGAATGCGCCCATATTGCTGTTGGACGAGGCCAGCTCTGCGATCGAGTCTGAATCAAGTAGAGTGGTACAGGAAGCTCTTGACACATTGGTCATGGGGAACAAGACGACTGTCCTGATAGCGCACAGGGCAGCGATGATGAAGCATGTGGATAACATTGTTGTCCTAAATGGTGGTAGGATAGTTGAGCAGGGCACACATGACTCTCTGATGGACCTGAACGGTCTGTATGTTAGATTGATGCAGCCCCATTTTGGCAAGGGCCTTCGCCAGCATCGGCTAGGCTAATGTAATTAATGTTGGGTTTGGTAGGTGTAAATTATCTTAGGGCATGATCAAGTCCCCCCTGTCGCTCTCTGTCCAGCCACGTAACTCCATGGTTGGAGCTGCTGGCGATGTTGTGAATGCGCAGAAAGGTGACCTGGTCTTGACAAAATTTTCGACTGGAGATTGAGATGACTAGTTGTGTTGAATCTGTAGGGAACTTCTATCCTGGAAATAGTTAGCAAGTTTGGTGGGAGGGCATTGTAATTGTTGTAATATATGAGTTGCAAACATTCTTTGGGAGGCTCTGCTCACTCGATTCATTTCACCTTTGTAATGCGCCGATTTGATGACTCAGGTGTGTAAAGAAAAGTCTTATAAATAGGTTGAATTCCTGGTGATTTGATTATGCATGTTTAGCGATGATCATGTGGATTGTCGTTTGTTCATTCAAACAGACTCTGTCGAGTACCCCTTGGAAACAAGAACAGCCGTGACGAATTGTCCTAGGAATCATACTCCCTGTGGTTCCTCAATATATTGTTTTAAAGAAGTAATTTTTTTGACCACTAATTCATGTATACTGGTTCTACTAATTCGTGCAAGCATGAATAGCTAGATGTATGAGTAATACAGATTCGTTGCACCGGTGGGATGGTGGTGCCGACGGACATGAGCAGCTTGCTCAATCACGCGTTCAAGTCCGAGATCTTGAAGGAGTCGGCGACGACTTTGAGCTTGTTGCGCAGCCTGCTCCACCGCCGCTCGTTAGCCGTCACGATCAGCGTGTAGTACCTCCCTGCCAAAAACCAACACCAACTCAGCTTCGTGTCCACCGGAAGGGGAAACATATGATCAGAATCCCCATGAACGTGTACCGTTCCCGATGGCGACCGTCGCAAACGCCGACACGCCGTAGCCCGGCGCCTCCAGATCGTACTCAAATGTCCAGTAGTTCCTGCCATCCACCGTACGCTGCCAATTTACAGCACAACAAAGTAACTGCTCATTTTTTCGATCTTTGCAGCGTAGCAGATCGGGAATTCTATGTCTGGTCGTTTTTTTTTCGACTACTTAAAAACTGCAATGCAAGCAGTGGATGAAACTGCAAACCTCTTGCATTTCATAGATCGTTGGTATCTGGTTCGGGGCAGCGTACACTTCGGTTACCAAATTGAAGATCGCCTGAGGGAAGATGAAGCAGTGGTCAGAAGAAAGGGAAGACACGATCTGGTCCAAAGTCCAGAAAATCCAGGCGTACCTCATCCATTGGGCCTAGGTCACGAATGTCTGTTTTCTGAGTAGGAACGAAGGCCACACGGACAGACTGCAGCTGCACATTACGGTCCTTGAACGCTGAATCATGGCCCAAGAAGTCGAAATCCTGACATGAAGCATCCGGGGGAACAAAAGGGTTATGTGAAATCCACGAGAGCCAATGACTTAGAAACTTTTTTGGCATCTGAATTGTCCTTCTTGCACACTAATTTACTACTCCGTCTGATGTAATAAGATCTTATATTATGGGACGGAGGGAGTACTAGTAAACATGACAAATTACCCTCCAATCAGCTGGGTAGAGGTATGAATATCCGTCGTTTGCATCGACGTAAGAGCTGTAGTTCTTTGGTACTTCTGAAATCTAGGAACAGCTCCAGTTAGCATTAGCTCACACAATCCTACATGCTAATGTTTAACAAGTTGATAACTTGCATAGTTGCATATCGGCTGCCATGGAAGTGAAACTGAACAATTAATAATGGGCATACCTTCAGCATATGCAGAGCTGCTGTTTAATAGGACAGTGGATAATGCCCCAGCACCAAGCAGTGCTAATCTCCTTTTTGTGACCTCTATAATAAGGTCAGGAAGAGTGATTCTATCAACAATTTTTTTTCCTGTGCCAACCTTTAAAAACACATTGAGAGACGAGAATTACTCTTCTCATCCGAGGATGCTTCGCTCGAGCTCGCGTTCACCACCGAAGGAGGAGCCCCATTCAGCCTGGCACTAGCCGTACAGTTCGGCGCAATCAACTGAAGACAACACCGAGTTTCTAAATCCAGGAACGAAATCAAGAGAAGGATGATAACAGGGTTCATTCAAGCACATACCTGTTTGGAAATCAAGCTCTGCAGGCTTGCCATTTCACCTTCGGTGGAGCTCTGATCCTAGCCTGCCCCAGGTTGGTTGGCTATCTGTTGCTGCTGGAGCTGGACTGTGGTCCGTAAGCTTCTCCATGTGCGTGGGTGGAAGCCAAGGCTGCCAGGTCAGCGTTTCCATTATCCTTTTCAAAACCTTTTGTTTCATTGTTTTGTACTGGCCACCGGCTGACAAAAGGGGGCCATTCATTCCCTTCTGATGGATAGTGCTAGAATAACAGCAAAATCGTCTTATATTTTGGGACGGAGGTAGTAGCTCATAACTTGGTCAGTTTTGGTTTGTTTTCCTGTGGTGATTTTGTAGAGATACATGGCAGGCCTAACGCATTCTCCGTTTCCTGTGGTTTAACTACATAGATGGAGGCATAATCTGTAGAGATGCAAGAGTCATCTCACCACAGAATTTGCAGAAATGCAAAAGCCATCTCACTGCAAAGGGATATGTTACAGACTTATAGTACTGCTTACCACTAGGGACTCTTTGGATTGCATATTTTTTTTTATCCTTCCAGAAGTTCCAAAGAGGCCCCAAGTTCTGAATGTGAACAAAGCATGATGGTACTACAAGGCAAACGAATATCTGCTCTTACAGCGAGGTTTGCTCATGCAGAATCTCCAGTGTGACAACATATAAAACTGGTAAGACAGTCAAGCGCCAAAGAAATCCATAGATACTGCATGGAGCAAAACCGCAAGCACATTATCACTTGGATGAAAAACCTGAGTATCGTTTGTTCCAGATCATACATATCAAAAGATATCAAAACATTTAAAAAATCCAGGTTACATATATTCGTGCCACAACGATGACTGACAGCATTATACAACAACAGTTACATAATTGAAGGCTATGCCTTAGGAGCAGGCTTCACCAATCCTAGTCCAGAACCACTCCCTAAATGCTTGAAGTTCTTTGCCTCTAGGTGGTCATCGTGTGCAGCGAAACCCGTTCCTCCTTTCTCTAAATTAATCAAATTCCTCTCTTTGCACGGTTTGCTGCACATTAAGCAGACCTTATCTGTTGCTATGAACTTGTCCGAGCACTTCTTGCAGAAGACATGGCCACAGGTGCTGATCGCCACCAGGGACATTGTGTTTGTGAGATTGGACTTGCAGCTGGGGCAGATGTAGCTTTTCTCCACTGACTTATTGCTCTTCTGACGAGCGTTCTCCTCGGTGAAAGAAATAGGGAAGAGTGATTTCAGCTTGAGCTTCTCCTGCCCCTCGGGACAGATTGTGTCAGTAGAAGGAGCATCTACCTTGACAGTAGCTTCGGGTGTAGCTGACGGAAGCCAGAACGCCTTCATGGTGCGTAGGGCTTCCTCTTCGAAGGAGGTAGTCTTCACACTGTTGGCTCCATGAAAACCATTCTTGTCTTGGGAACCGCTGCGATCATAGTACTGGGGGACTGCTCCATGATTCTGCTGATCAAAAGCATCCAATTCCTTGGACTTTTGCAGCACCAGCTTCTCCTCCTCCTCTTCCTTCTCTTGCTTTTTCTGGGAGTCATGAGCTATAAGCTTGCTGGAAGAAGGAAAAACACTCAGAAATCCATAACTTTTATTTGGTTGAACAAGCAGACAACTTAAGGGCAATTACAGCAATTTTGCATGTCCACTGAGAACAGGAACATAGATTCAAACTACTTCAGTGACCAATTGCAGAAATGTTCATGACAAATGGCATGGGGAAGTATGATGAAGCAAGATCCAATGATGAAACAAGATCCAATGATGAAGCAAGATCTTATGGATACCAAAACTGTACTAGTTTACTACTCCCTCCGTCCTAGTATATACTAGTAGAAATCCAATGATGAAGCAAGATCATTTTATCTTGAAATTCAGGGATAAGCTCATACAATACTACTCCCTCCGTCCGTCCCATAATATAAGATCATTTTTGACATTACACTAGTGTAAAAAACACTTATATTATGGGACGGAGGGAGTACTATACTATAACTAGTCCTAGCAACATAACACCACCGATCCAAACAATGTACCATGACAAACACCCACCCCAGGATCGAATTTTGATTGTCGCCTCATATTCTTTCGTCGCGCGACCTCCGGTGCCACAAAACTAAAACACAGTGCTAAAAGAGTTCTCATAGTACCAAGGAAAATGGCATACTACGACAAGTCCAACAAGCCCTATCCATGAGGAACCCTATAATCCTAGGAGCAGGACTGCACATTTAAGCCCGCACAGCATCTGAGCGCAAACATACCAATTTCACAATCCTAGCTAACAAAATGCAAATTCCCTGGAATTAACCAGTCCTTGGATGAACAAGCAAAAACGAATCAGGACCCAATAAAAAAAGACGAGCTGTTACCGCTTGATGTCCTTCTTCTGCGCGAGGAGGCACTCGAGGATGCACTCCTTGCAGAAGGTGTGGCCCTTGGGGCAGGCGAGCGGGTCGATGAGCGGCTTGAGGCAGAGGCAGCAGGCATCGAAGGGCTTGATGGAGTCCTTGCCGAGCCGCTCCCGCTGGGTGCCGTACCCGAGCTTCCGCTTCTCCTCGTAGGTGAAGAAGGCGAGGTCGTTGTTGTTCTTCGAGTGCCGCTGCGGCATCTTGGCTGCGCTTCGCCTTCGTCTCCCCTTCCGGCCGGCGGGTGGGAGGCGCGGGGACGAGGAGGAAGGCGATGCGGTCCTGCTCTGAGGTGGGTCGTCGAAGTGCTAACCCTAGATTTGAAGGGGAAGAGGACTCGACGAGATGATGGTTTGATCGGGTGGAGTGGAGACGAAGGGCGGATCGGGCTGGGACTTGTGCGAGTCTGTCACGGTCCTCTGACCGGCCCGTGTCATTTGACTTATGGGCCGGTGCGAGTTTCAGACTTTTCATTGCAAGTTCTTCTCCAAATATAAGGGGTAGTACTTTTTTTTTGAGGGGAACTTGCCTTTATTTAAAGCTTAAACAAAGTTCGGAATCTCATCCGCTACAACATGAATAATACAATCTGGAGGAAATTCATAAACACTAGACACCTCATTGCAAACCCCCTCTCTTGCTAACCCATGCGCTGCTCCATTAGCCGAGCGCTGAACCCAGCTAACTCTGAACTCATGCCACGACCTCAACATCTCCTTTATCTCTTCCACGACCGGACCAAAGGTGGAAAGGTTCCTTCATTCTTCATTTAGCATTGTCACCACCTACTGATTATCCAGCTCCACGTGAAGGCACTGAACGTCCGTGTCAAGTGCCAACTGCACAACACTCCTAGCCGCTAGGATCTCTGCAAGAAGTGGAGTAGTGATGCTCGGGAAGAAGACAGAAGTCCCTCCCCTGAAAGCACCGTGGTGATCCCTAAGGACCACACCTCCTCCTCCCCGGTCATGCGCCCTCGCCATGGCTTCGTCGGCATTCACCTTGATCCACCCAGGCTCCGGCGGTTTCCAGTTGTCCGGTCTCCTTGTTTCCTTGGTCGTTCGCTCCTCCACATGAACTTGGCGCCACTCTTGTATGTGTGCGTGCACTTTCTCAGCTAGCTCGCGAGCGTCCTGGATTCTTTTCCCGTCGCATGTTTCATTCCTTGCGCACCATAGGCCATATAGCGCATGAATCATCATCTCTCTTTCTACTGCTCCCGCGTCGGCAAACCAGCCCTTCAGCCAAGAAACCAGGCTGTTTAGCGAGCCATCCATCATCGGCGGCAGCATCACCGGCTCGCCCTTGTCTTCACACAAGTATTTCCAAAACATCGCTGAATGAGGGCACTCCCAGAAACGGTGATACGTCGTCTCTTCACGTCCACATGCACAGCAAAACACGCCCGACTTTATTCGACGTCGATGAAGCTCGGAGCCAACAGCCAGCCCGTTCTTCAAGAGGCGCCATGCATGAATCTTTGCCTTTCCCGGGGCGTTAGTGTCCCACAGCGCCATCCATGATTTATGCTCCCTGCTTGGCATTGAAGAACCTGGCTGTCCGATCTTGACACCATTCAAATTCATGCGGAGGTGATATGCCGACTTGACTGAAAATTGTCCATTATTGGTGAAGTTCCATGCCACATAGTCCCTCATATTTGGTCCACCAATCACAATCTGCTTTATATCCTCCACATCCCCAGGAGTAAACATCACTTTCACCTTGGCCATGTCCCATGCAATACCTGATTCATTCAGAAGGTGGCGCACATGAGTGATCCCTGCAATGTACTGCTGCCCAAGTGGCTTAAGGCTTCCCTGGCGCGGGAGCCAATTATCATGGTGGATTTTAATCGATGTGCCATCTCCAATCCTCCACACAAGTCCCTCACGCAGCAGCTCCCGGCCATGAATAATACTTCTGAAAGTGAACGAGCCGCCAGCAGGGCAGGTAGCATTCAAGATTGATCCATGGGAGAAATACCTTGCCTTGAGCACCCTAGCACACAAAGAATCTGGGTACTGCAGCATGCGCCAGGCTTGTTTGGCCAGCAGAGCTTGGTTAAAAGATTCTGGATCCCGAAAGCCCATTCCTCCTTCTTTCTTTGCCCTACACATCTTTTTCCATGCAAGCCAGTGCACCTTCCTCTCCCCATTTGCTTCTCCCCACCAGAAGTTAGACGATATAGAAGTCAGGTTCCGGCACATTTTCTTGGTGAGTTGGAAGTAGCTCATAGTGAGAGTTGGTGTGGCTTGGAGTCCTGACTTGACTAGGACCTCCCTTGCCGCTTTTGACAGCCCTTGACCCTTCCATCCTGTTATTTTCCCCGCAGAGCTCTCCTTGACATATTTAAACGTCCCCTCTTTGGAGTTACCAACCAGTGTCGGCCATCCTAAATACCTTTCACTCAAAGCTTCAGAGTTGATGCCAATCACTCCAAGTAATTCAGCCTTACTTTCATCTCTACATCCTTTACCAAAGAACACCGAAGACTTTTGAAGATTTACCTTTTGTCCTGAGGCTTCCTCATAGACTCTAAGTATCTCCCTTAACGCCTCAAAACTGCCACGGTTCCCCTCCAGAAAGACAATACTGTCGTCCGCGAATAGAAGGTGAGTGAAATGGGGGCCAGTGCTCCCAAATGACACCCCTTTGAGATTATTCTCATTCTGTGCAGCCCTTAGAAGAGCGGAAAAACCTTCCACGCAAAACAGGAAAAGGTATGGTGAAAGAGGATCACCCTGTCGTAGCCCTCTGGATGGGAGGAAAGGTCTCGAGAAGCCACCATTAAGTTTCACACAAAAACGAGCTGAGGTGACACATCGCATAATCATCTGGACCCACCTTTGACCGAAACCAAATCTAAACAACATATGTTCTAAGAAGATCCATTCGACTCGATCATACGCCTTCATCATATCTAGCTTTACCACACACAACGGAGTCTTCCTCTTCCTCATTCTAATGGCATGGGTACACTCATAGGCCACTAAAACATTATCTGTCATGAGCCTCCCTGGTACAAAGGCGCTCTGTTCCTCAGAAATCAACACAGGTAAGATCCTCTTGAGCCTATTAGCCAAAACTTTAGTAGCAATCTTATAGAGCACATTACACAAGCTTATTGGCCTAAACTGAGACATCAGCTCCGGTGAGCTAACTTTCGATATCATCACTATCACAGTGTCATTAAACGAATCCGGAGTAGCTTCTCCTGACAGAAACCCCCTAACAGCTGCACACACGTCCTCTTTTAACAGAGACCAGTGTCTCTGATAAAACAAAGCAGGTAGGCCATCTGGTCCGGGAGCTTCCGTAGGCCCCATCTGAAACAATGCCCGCTCAATCTCCTCATCTGAAATAGGAGCCGTCAGCCTAGCATTCATATCCTCAAAAATGACAGGGTGAAAAAGATCTAGTAGCCTCTCTGGCTGGGTGGATCCCTCCGATGCGAATAAATGCTCATAGAATGAAGCCGCCAGCTCCCGCATGCCATCATCATCCGTACACCTCGTACCATCCTCCCGCCTCAATGCCTTCACCATGTTCTTTTTTTTAGGGATAAGGGGTAGTACTTTGGTTTTGTTTCCACCAACTTTTGCAGTCAACAACGTGTTGGACCCAAAAAAACTACTCCATCCATCCGAAATTATTTGTTAGAGAAATGGATGTATTTAGATATACTCCCTTCGTCCAAAAATACTTGTCATCAAAATGAATAAAAAGTAATGTATTTAGACGTATAGGGATGTATCTAGAACTAAAATACATCTAAATACATCTCTTTTTATCCATTTTGATGACAAATATTTTCGGACGGAGGGAATATTTTATTTTTAAATATATTCATTTTTTGTTCATTTTTGCGACAAGTAATTCCGAACAGGGGGAGTAGTAATTAGGCTAGTCATAGTGGGATGCTCTTCTCCTCCAAACCTTTCGTCTTCGCGGCAAGGTGTCATTCCATCCCATCACCATGGTGGTTGCAGAGGAGGGGAGGAAGGGGATGGCATCAAGGTGCCGATGGAGCACCTAGGTCGAGGCAACAAGATGCAGAGGTGCAGGGTGGTGCGAACGGAGAGGCAACTCCATACCCGCGCGAAATCACCTGCCGTCTCCTTCCTCTTCTGCCTTCCCTCTCCTCCAGTCAGCGCCGCCACCACTGCCACGCCTCGCCATTACACTATTCCTGTAGAGGTGACCCGAGGAGGAGTAGATCGACCACAACGGTTTAAAGTTCTCTGCTAGGTTTGGAGGTACTACTCCATCTTCGATCCCAGCCATCTCACACCTCCCTGAAAATTTCTGGGTAGGTACAAGGTGCCCTCCCCATCTCCTGTGTGTATGTTGGATTCGATTCGAATTGAAGAACAATATATCAACCGATCTCATTGGATTTCTTATTAGAATGTAATAAATCCAGCAATTTTCAGACTACAAGAAGTGTGTTGTTGCAGTACATAAAGGTAGAATTAACCCTACTTAAATTCAGGGATAGCAAGACATGAACTACTGATCGTCTTGGGCTGCCAGCTGAGGGAGAGGGGGAGGAGAGCTGCCGCTGCTTCTCTCGAGCCCTTGTTGCTCGTGTGGTGGATCTTCTCCAAGCCCCTCAAGCCACTCATCTTCAAGGTGATCACTGCATCCAGATTTGATCTTCCTGACTTGGGACTTCATGTCTTTTTTCTTATATAAATGTGTGAGACACTTCATTGGCTTATCTAAATGGAGTTTGAAGTCTTATCTATTTCCATAGTACAATAAGCAAACCCCACAATGTTCAATTTGGTGCTAGATTTCATATTATTCACAAATACTTCTGTTTACTATCTGCTCAAAAAATTAAAATATGATGAATCTGAAAGGAGAAGAGAAATGGCAAAGAACTCCCTAAATATACACATTATTATGAACAATGGAGAGCCAACCAGCCAGTAAGTTATGCATTGTGAAAAAGCAACATGTACAGATTATTGCTAGGATTCAAAGTGACATTTTGTACTTTTTGAAGTGGACAATTATTCTGTTAGCTTAGTTGGGTTCACCAGTTTTTTTTTCTTTTGGTTTGGCATCCTTGCGTCATTTTTGGTGGACGAATAAAGATAATGCACTTCTGTTGTGCGCAGAGGATAATTCTTTAGAAATTTTAGGTGTTAGTTTTGAATTGCCCGAGATGATAGAGTTCTTAGTTGATTGGCTA